GGGGGCGGAGGCGTCTTGGGCCGTCTTGGGGCGGTCTTGGGGGCCTCTTGGGGCCATCCTGGAGCGTCGGAGTCCCGAAGACGCGAGAACGCGACAAACATTGAAAACCACAAGGAACATCAATTAGATGTTTCTTGGGGGTTCTCTTGGAGCGCTCTTTGGGGCGTCGTTGGGGCCTCTTGAACCGTCTCGGGGCCATCTTGGGCGTCTTTGAGCGCTCTTGGGCTGTCTTGGAGGCCTCTTGCGCCGTCTTGAGCGCTTTGTGGGGCCCTCTTGACCAGTCTTTGGACCTTCTGGCCTCTGGAAAACTCACGCGGGGCAGGCCACGAACGCGCGGGAATGCTCGAGGCATTTTGAGAAGTTTGGGCCCCCGCCTTCAGAATACTAGAATTCCCCAGTCTTGAGTACAGAGAACGGGGCCCTTGAGGACCTGAGGACACTCCACTTCGTGCCTCGAGGCACGGTGGCCGATATACACTGCATACAAATATGTGTACACATGATCTTCAACATATATTATCACATACACATATGCGTGTATATATATATATATAGTTATATATATATATATATATATATATATATATGCATCTCCATAGACGCATTCAGATGCCTATGCGGATGCACATGCATAAACATATACATATATGCATATACACTTACCTATGCCTACACCTGTCCAATGACATGCACATGTACATGTACATGTGCATGCGCATGCTCATTTGCAGTTACAGTTACATGGATAAGTATACTTGCACATATATATATATATATATATATATATATATACATAATGGTAGTCGGCCCATGCCATCACCGTGCCTGGGTTGTGGTTAGGCAACCTCTCAGATGTTCGTTGGGATCTCGTGGGAGGCCTACCTAGGGGCCTCTCGGCGGCAGTTGTGGGGCCTCCTCGGGGCCGTTTTGGGGGCCTTCTTTTGAGCCTCTTTTGGGGCCTCTTGGGCGCATCTTGGGGCGTCAATTGGGCCGCTCCGGGGCCTCTTGGGGCCTCTTGGGTTGCTGGGCGCCTCTTGAGGTCTTCTGGGATCATTTCGGGGCGGGAGGCCCGGATCTTCGGTTCGTGTTCCCCCTCTTGCCCTTCTTTTGTGGGAGCCGTTTTGGGCTCCTCTTGGGCCGTCTTGGACGCTCTTAGGCCGTCTTGGGGCCCTCTTGGAGGCCTCTTTCGGCCGTTTTGGGGTGGTCCTGGGGGCCTCTTGGGCCGTCTTGGAGCGTCGGAAAGCCGAAAAGGCGAGAACGCCAAAATCATTCAAAAGCCTACGGCAAATCAATGATTGTTGCGTCTTGGGGCCCTCTCGGGAGGCCTCTCAGAGGCCGCTCGGGGCGTCCTGGAGGCCTCTCAATGCATCATGAGGCCATCTTGGGAGTCTTGGAGCGACCTTTCGGCGACTTGGGGTCCTCTTGCACCGTGTTTGGGGCCCCGGGGCCCTCTGGGCCCGTCTTGGGTTCGTGTTGGACCAGGAAAGTCCTGCGACAAACCGCGCGGGGGAGCCCGGAGGGCACGCGACACGTCCGAGAATGTTTGGGCCCGGACCCCTAAGAAACTTCGCAGGATTGAGGACTGAGGCTCCATGGATTAGGCAAATGACCTGGGGGCACTCCCACTCCAAGCCCAGAGGCACGGGGGCTGATGTATGAAAGAGTGTGAGAGCGAGAGAGATGGAACAAGCATCATGACTCCGACGGAGGGACCCCGCATGAGCATCTGTTTGGTTTGCCCTGTCTGTAGCCCTTCCCCCCTCGCTCTGGCGGACACCCTCCTCTCGCCCTCTGCTCTGCCCTCTCCTCCTCCTTCTCCTTCTCCTTTTATTCATCCTCCTCCTCCTCTTCCTATTTTTCCTCCTCCACCGCCTCCTCATGATCACCCTCTCCCTACACCTTTTCTGTCCTCATCCTTCCCTCGGCCAGCGCAGGCGCGCGTTCGCCGACGGCTGGTTCGCGAAGCCTTTGGGACAGCCCCGCGGGCCATGTCTTTGGGACAACCCCGCGGGCCGCTGGGGCGCGGGGGCAGGCCGTCGGGACAACCCCGCGGGCCAGACCGTTGGGACAACCACGCGGGCCTTTAGCTGCGCGCCGCGGCGCTCAGGCGGGAGGCAACACGAAGCCAAGCTCCGCTGCGAGCTGCTCGGCCTCATCCCCGGAGGTCTTCGCTTTCTCGTCGAACTTCCGGAGCGCTTTCTGCAGGGGCGCTGGCGGCCCGCGCTCCAGAATGTCTCGCGGGGGCGGCCGCAGGATCAGCATGTTCCGCATGTACGTAACGCGGGAGAATATGGCGTAGAGGTGCAGGCACCATTGCTCGGGTGGCGCGCCCGTGCGTGCAGCGTCTTCATCCCTGGCGCACTCAATGGTGACGCTCTTGCGCAGCGTCTGGCCCTGCGACAGCGTGGAGGTCAGGTGTGACGCGCGCGTCAGGGTGAACCCCGAGCGGCGCACGACGTGCGTCCCCGAACTCTGCAACGTGAGCTCCTGTTCTCTGGGCCTGAACATTATCAAGTCCCTCGCCCGCACCTCGGCGTCGCCGCCGTCGTCAGCGCCTTCGGCGCCCTGCAGCAACAATTCGGCGACCTCCTTGTAGATCGAAGACTCTTTGAAGCCGTGGACCTGCAGCCAGATTCCTTGAGGCAGGTAGCGGGGGCGAAAGAGCTGGCCCGGCGCGCATTCCTCGTACTCCCGCTCGTCGTCTGCTTGAAATTCGAAGGACACGATGGTGGCCCGCTGCTCTTGCACGAGCCCCAACTTTTTGTTCTTCTTCAGTTCCTCCTGCACGGCCTTGAACCGAATCTCCATGCCGACGCGTGCCGGTAAGACGCCGTGGAGGCTCCACTTCCGTGCATGTTCGGAACGTTCAGGAGGCGCCGGCCCGCGTCTGGGTTGCCTTGAATCGAGACGGTTACAGAATTCGCATGACCGCGCTCGGAATACCAACGCGAAGCGCGTGCCACATAATGAATGGGCTCCCGCCTGAGAATTTCTCGCAATTCACTCACAGACGAGGCCCCCGCCTGAGTCTTCCTCCAAATTCAGGCCTGAGGAGCCCAAAAGTGCCGATTACAAGGTTGAGGATGACCCGCTCGGAATACCAACGTGAAGTGCGGGACCCATGGGGAGGGAACCCCCGCCTGAGACTTCCTTACAATTCGCTCACAAAAGAGCCTGCCACCTGATACTTCTTCCATATTGAGGCCCCAACAACCCGAAAGTGACGACAGTTACACGGTTGGGGATGACCCGTTCGGACTACCAACATGAAGTGCGGGACCCGTAGGGACGGGGCTCCCGCTGGAGAGTTCTTCAAAATTCACTCACAAACGAGGCTCCCGCCCGATATTTCCTACACATTCAGGCTTCAGGAACCCAAGCGTGACGACAGTTACAAGTTGGGAATGACCCACTCGGATTACCAACACGAAGTGCGGGATCCATCGGGAGGGGGCTCCCGCTCGAGATTCCTTCACAATTCGCTCACTGACGAAATTCCTGTTTGATACCTCCTCCATATCCAGGCCTCAGGAGCGCAACAGTGGCGACAGTTATAGGGTTGAGGATGACCCGCTCCGATTGCCAACATGATGTGCGGGACCCATCGGGAGGGGTTCCCGCCTGAGAGGTCTTCACACTACACTCAATGACGAAGCTCGTGCTTAATTGTTTTCCATATTCAAGCTAGGGAGTAGGTGATGACGAAGTAATGGGTGAGTGAGTGACGATGCTGGCGCGTGATTAAATGATGATGATGCTGATGATGATGATGATGATGATGATGATGATGATGATGATGATGATGATGATGATGATGATGATGATGAGTGTGTGAGTGAATGGGTGAGTGACCGGATGAGCATGATGGTGATCATGATGCTTGGTGCGAGTGTGTGAGTTAGTGAGTGTGAATGTGTATGAGTGTGTGACTGATGACGATGACGTGAGTGAGTGAGGTGGACAGGGAGAGTGTGTGTGAGCGTGAGTGTGTGAGAGTGTGTGTGGTGATGATATGGATGAGGAAGATAGGGGGGAGGAGAGATCCTGCGCGGGGTGTGTGCAGAGAAAACTAGAACCCCACTTTGGATATGGGGAAAAAAAAAGAAAGAGTGAACGAGAGAGAGAGAGAGACTACGAGAGAGAGAGGGGAGAGATAGGGAGAAAGACAGAGAACGAGAGAACGATAGATATTGAGAGAGAGGGTGATATACGTATATTTATGTACAGAGAGAGAGAGAGAGAAGGAGAGAGAGAGAGAGAGGAACGACAAGTGAGAGATAGAGGGAGAGAGAGAGATAGAGAGAGAGAACGAGAGAGAGAGAGGAGGAGGAGGAGGAGGAGGAGGAGGAACAGGAGGAGGGGTCATTGTGTGCGCGTAGACGCCAGGGAACGTAGGGCCGGAATCCTTCAGCACCCAGAGCCGCGTTTCGCTATGACACCCGGTGCTGGGCGGGGGTGATCGTCTGCCAGTCTTGAGTCTGCAGCCTGCGCCAGGGTGAGGGAGGGGTTCAGCTCGTGTTCAGAGGAGCGAAGAGTATGATAAGACGTCGTTTCAGTTCAAGAGCTTGGTAGATTTCCTCACGTTCCACATGGGCTGCAGAAAGCTGGGAACGCATACCGACCCAATCGTATAATGACCTCATTCCCGTCCTACGTGCCAAAATGCGCTCGTCCGATCCAGCGCAGAGGCGCCCAGCAGAGGTTGGCGGCAGCGGTGACGACGGCGTGCTGTGCAAGCCCCCGTAGATTGCGCTCTCATGTATAGGCGCAGTGGTGTCCATTGTCCTGCGTTCCATGTTTGCGATTCGTCGATCTGTCTTTCCACTTTCTCGTCGTCCCGCTCCGCCTCCTCCTGGCATGCGCTCCTCATCTTTTTCCCTCCTCCTCCTTCCCCTCTTCCTCTTCATCCTCCAGCTCCCCCTCACCATCCTCTCCGTGCTCCTCTGTGCTCCCTGGGGCCGAGGGGGAACGCGACCCCCCCCGCACCCCGCCGCTGGCAGGTTCCCTGCGAGAGCCTTTATCGGGTGGAACAGGATCTGCAGGCCGGGCAGCATCCTGGGGCCCCAGCAGCAGTTCATGGTCGACATGCAGCCGATGATGTTCCAGGCAGGCAGCCTCTCTTCCTGCGGTCGTTCCAGCTACGTCCCTTGGCCTCGGGCATGAGTGTGAGCCCCCTGTCCTGTTCATCGTCTTCCTCGTTCCCAGTTGAGCTGGGCCCCCCAGGCTCACATTTGAGCATCTCTTGCTCCTAGGGGTGCAGGTGCACACTTTCCTTCCAGTGTTTCCCCCCCCCCTCTCTCTGTGCGTCATGGCCTGCCCATCGTGTCTGGACGAGTTTCGCCCGCAGAGCATTGGCGGATGTCGTGTCGGGGGATGCCTTGAGAGAGCACGGTCGGACGTTAACCAGGCATTCGAGTGGAGTCTCTGGGTTGCGTCCGCGGATATGTGACTGTTCACATCACGTGCAGTCAACCCGCATAGTAAGGATGGGCAACCTTTCCACGGGTACCTTTGCATCTTTTCCTTTTTGGCGAAGCTCACTTGTCAGTCGCGTTAGAAAAATGCTCACATAGCCCTCCAAGGTCCTTGAAGCTTTACCGCGCATCCTTATGATACGGGTTGACTGTGCTGCCATGCAGCCAGGGGCATACATAGCTCGCAAGCGCTACGCATGCCCTCTGATAGTGCGGGCTGTTGGATTTGCGGACCGTGGAGGCGATGACATGATCGTGTCCAGTGGCACACTAGAACAGGAAAGCACATGTAATTGTACAAGCAAGTATTTGGGCTCCTTTGACTGTGTGGGAGCAGTGTGGGAAGCTCCGCTGCAGCGCTGCTAAAGCATGAATGTGGATAACCATTGTTGAGGCTGCTTTTTTCGATCAGGGTCGTGACCCTTTCGCCATTGCCGACGCATTCTGAAGGAGATTGCAGGCAGAAAGTGCTAGGACTACAGGAGTTGTGTTATTCCCCATATCCTAAGGTCGGTCCTTGTTATTCCCCATATCCAAAGGATGGGGTCCCTTGTATTACCGACCGCGCCGAGAATTCACCTCCACATCCTTCCTCCACCCCGTCATTTTAAGTTATGGTGTGCCATGGTATGTCATCCTATGGTATGCTATGATGTGCTATGATATGTGTCGTTATGATGTGGTACGGTATGAAATGCTATGTTATGATACCATGTTGTTGATAATGGTGTCGATGATGATGATGCAGATGATCATGATGATGTTGTTGTTGATGATGATGATGATGATGATGATGATGATGCTAATGTTAATGATAATGATGATGATATGTATAAGGATGCTGTTAAGGGTGCTCATGCTGCTGCTGCAGCTGCTGCTGCAGCTGCTGCTGCAGCTGCTGCTGCAGCTGCTGCTGCTTCTGATGATGATGCTGATGATGATGTTGATGATGATGGCGGAGCAGATTCTGAGGATGTCTCGAGCGAGGCGCGGGTTTCAGCACCCACAATGGGGGAGCCGCCAGGGGATATTGTACTCCTCCGTTCGCGCCAAAATATCGGGGATGTCTCGAGCAGGTGGTTCCCAACATCCTGCGCTTTCGGAGCAAATTCTGGGGATGTCCCTCGCGAGGCGCTGGTTTTCGCCCCCAAGGGGGGGCCGCCAGGGGGTATTGCAATCTTCCCTTCGCGCGGTGCATTTTTTGGTTCCCACAGTCCTCCGCTTTCGGAGCAGATTTGGAGGATTTCTCGAGCGAGGCCTCTTGGCAGCATCTTGGGGCCTCTTGGGGGCCTCTTGGGGCCTTCTGGGGAGCCCTCGGGGCCGAGGGCTTGAAATGTCCGTTCGGGTTCCCTATCTTGATCTCCTCATGGGACCGTCTTGGGCGCATCTTGGGCCGTCTTGGGCGCCTCTTGGGCCGTCTTGGGGCCCTCTTGGGCCGTCTTGGGGCCATCTTGGGGGCCTCGTATGGAAAAGGAGGAGGAGGAGGAGGAGGAGGAGGACGCTCGCCTGCGCTACTGGGGAGCCCGCAGGCGACCGCGAGCACCCGGCGCTCGCCCGTGTCGCCGGGCGGCGCCTCCCAGGGCGGCAGCCAAGCTGCATCAGCCAGCGCAGCTGGGGCCCATCGAGGGCCTTTTGGGGGCCGACAGTAACCAAAGGCTTTCCGTCGAGATTTCCGCACGATGCGATCATGTTTGGACCTGCTCCTCCTCCTTCTCCGCCTGGGTGCGCGCGCAAGTGCGAGAAAAGAAAGGCAAAGGGAATTGGGAAAAGAAGCGGTGCCCGCGAGGGCGCAGAGTAATAAGCGAGCAGCCAGGGGGAGAAGGGGTATACAGTACAGCACCAGTGATATGTCCTCCTTCTAGGCGATCGCAAACATGGATCAAGAGGACGTGGATTAGCGAGGGGTCCCGTTTCCATGGGAAATCGCGGATTTCCGCCGCTAAACGAGGCGGCACTTGCCGCATTTTGGGAAGGCCACCTCCCCCGATCCATGGATTTGGTGACCGCGCGCCAAAGCCATTGATCGCTAATCCATGTTTGCGCGCCCCCGATCCTCCTCCTCCTCCTACTCCTCCTTGTTTTTGCGTAGGGTAAAGTTACGCAGCGGAGCCGGAGCGTTATACTATAGTGATATAGCAAATGACGATAGTCCGACTCAGCGACGCGCGACTCAAAGTAAGTTGACGGCACGCGCAGAGATGGACGTGCACGAAGTCAAAGGAAAGTCTAGCAGCCCTGGTGGGCACGGAGTGACGTCGCCGTCAGTAGGGGAGAGAAGATGTGAAACCAGAGCAACAACCAAATCTATGAATCTCCCCCCCTTCCTCCTCCCGACGAAGGCGTCTGTAGACCACCACCGTGCCAGGCCAGGGCCATTCTGGGCCCCAGGATGGTGCACAGACCCTCCCGGCCTCGGCCAGGAGGGCGTCCGCAGCGTGCCAGGGCCAGGATGGCCCTGGCCTGGCACAGGCGGTGGTCTACAGACGCCTTCTGCGTACTTCTCCCCCCCTCTTCCCCCCCCCTTCCCTCCTCTTCCCCCTCCTCCCCCCCCTCTCCTCCCCCCTCTTCCCCCCCCCCCCTTCCCCTCCCTCCTCCCTCCCCCCTCCAGCCGCCGCGCAGGCCGGGCTGGCGCACGGCGGGCCGCAGACGAGCCTGCAGGCCCCCAGCGGGCCGCCCCAGGCTCGCCCGGGGGACGGGGCCCTCGGCTCGGCTCGGCTCGGCGGGCTCTCCCAGAGGGGGACTGCGGCACGGCTGGCCTCGAAGGGCCTCTCGTTTGGATCCCCCCCACACACATACTGTTTCTCTCGGCGGGGAGCAGACTCGACCCTCCCCCTCCTCCTCCTGCTCCTCCTCCTCCTCCTCCTGCTCCTCCTCCTCCCTCCTCCTCCTCCTCCTCCTCCTCTCCTCCTCCCTCCTCCTCCTCCCTCCTCCTCCTCCTCCTCCTCCTCCTCCCTCCTCTTCCTCCTCCTCCCTCACTCCTCCTCCCTCTTCTTCCTCCTGCTCCTCTCCCTCCTCGGCCTCCTCCTGCTCTTCCTCGGGGTCGCTCTCGTTGCCGTCGTCGTCGTCGTCGTCGTCGTCGTCGTCGTCGTCGTCGTCGTCGTCGTCGTCGTCGTCGTCGTCGTATTGTCGTCGCGGCGGAAAGTATGCTCCCTCTATTGTTGGGCGGGCTGGAGTTATGTTTTGGGGTTCTTTTTTCCGACGAAGTAGTCCAACGTGGGCTACACTATACGCGAGAGGAGTCGTGAGCATCTTCTCATGGTGATTAGAATCGGAATCAGTGGTTGTGGTTGTAGTCGTGGTTGCAATCGTGATTGTAATCGTAATTTTAGTAGTGATTGTAGTCGCAATCGCAGTCGTGATCGCAGTCGTGGTTGTAGTCGTAGTCGTAATAGTCGTCGTATCGTGGTCGTAGTCGTAGTCGTGGTCGCAGTCGTCGTCGTCGTTGTTGCGCGGCGGGTGCCGCGGAGGAGTTAGTAGTTTCCGCTGTTGGTGGGGCCCCAGTCCGTCAATAAGGGCGTCGAGATGATAATTCGTTTCCACTCTCGGGGGGGGTTCTAAAGACCCTTCCCGGTTAGGGGGGGATACCATGGCGGGGGCCATAATATTTCCCTAGAGTTCATGGCGCCGCTTCTTGTTTCAATGCGTCCCCGGCCCTCCCTTCGGCCGCGCACGTGCCGCCGACCATGATTTGCGCCCCCTTCTCTAGGGCGCTCCCCTCGTTCAGGAGGGAAAGAAACACAATACAGACACAGTTAATCGTCGACTCCCAGGAAACATGGAAAACTATGGGAAGCAGGGGAAGACAAAAAGTCCAGAACATATGAGGAAGTGTTGGGAATCCGGGGTTAGTGTCTACTTATTTGTGTGTGCCTGGGCCCCTTTGCTCCTGGACGCCCCCCGAGGCCCTCGTGTCTGCCTCGCTGCCGCGCCGCCCGGCGGCCATCGCCTGGTGTTGCGAGAGGTGCCCCTGGCCCAATTGGGCCGGACGAAAGGGGGGGATTGGAAAAGGGGGGTTACGAAATTTGCTGCGTGCAGCTGGTTTCGGCCCCGCCGCCGGGCCCATTCCTCGACGATACATGGCCGCCTCCCGGCGCCGGGAGGCGCCGGGAAGCTCAGCCACGCGAGCGGATTCTCACCCCCCCCCCTTTGCTATCCCCCCCTTTTGCCCTCCTCCTCCTCCTCCTCCTCCTCCTCCTCCTCCTTCTCCTCCTCCTCCTTGCAAGAGCTCCAACATGGAGCGAGAAACTGGGGGCACCTTCGGCCGGGGGCACCTGGAGCCCCCCGTTTTGCCCTCCTCCTCCTCCTCCTCCTCCTCCTACTCCTCCTCCTCCTCCTCCTTCTCCCTCCTCCCTCCTCCCTCCTCCCTTCTCTCCCAGGGTGCCCGAACCCTCACCAGGCCCCAGAGGGCACCAAGATCGAAGGGCAACCAACGGCATAATTACGCACATAAAACTTCTCTGGCGCTCCGCGCTCCGACGTAATCGTTCGGCGACGGGGAGATGGGCCCCAGCGCGGGTCCAAAAGAAGCCCGCGCGGAGCGCGAACAGTTTATGTTCGTGTCTCCTCCTCCTCCTCCTCCTCCTCCTCCTCCTCCCCTCCTCCTCCTCCTCCTCCTCCTCCTCCTCCTCCTCCTCCTCCTCCTCCTCCTCCTCCTCCTCCTCATCTCCTACTCACGAGGCCCCGAGGGCCCCAAGAGCTCCAGCATGGAGCGAGAAACCGGGGGCACCTCCGGCCGGGGGCACCGGGAGCCCCCCCCCGAGCCGAAGACGCGGCCCCGGCCTGCCATGCGCACCGGGCAGGGGGAGCTTCTGGACACCTGGCCGGGCCGGTGCCCCCGAGAGCAGGCAGCCAGCGGTACCAGGCAGTCCCGCGGGGAGGGGCGGTCGTTCTGGCACCTCTCTCCTCTCCCCCTCCTCTTTTCCTCCAGCTCCTCCTCCTCCTCCTCCTCCTCCTCCTCCTCCTCCTCCTCCTCCTCCTCCTCCTCCCCTCCTCCTCCTCTCCCTTCCTCCCCCCTTTCCCTCCCCCTCCTCCCTCCTCCTCCTCCCTCCTCGTCCTCCTTCCTCCCCCCCTCCCCCTATCCCCCTCCGCTGCCCGCCCTCGCCGACGCCAGATCCGCCCGAGGCTCTCAGGGGCCAAGGGCTGCCAGGAACCCGCACCTCCGACGTCTTTTGCCGATCCGTTCTGTTTCGATTTCGCCTGGATCGGCACACAAGTCGTTGGTCTATCGGGGCGTGCATCTTTGAGTTCGGCCTCCGGGGCCCGTGGTCGGGTCCCGGGGCCACCAACAGCGCACCTTGGGCGAAGAGCTCTATCACGATCCCCAGGGGAAGGGGTCGGGGCCTCTGGGGCCGCCTGAGCCCCGTGGGTCTAAGGCTGCGAGGGACGGCCCATCGGAGGACGGCAGCTGTGCACCTGCACCGATCCCGGCCAGGCCGATGCAGGGCCGAGGATTGGGCCATCTGATAGCCTTCCTCGCCAAGCCAGGGCGGCGCCTACCGCGGTCTTCTAGGCCTCCCTGATGGTGTCCGAGTAGATGGTGTCGGAGGATCGCGTCGCATCGCCAGAGCATCGGCGATGCGTCTCGATGTGGAGCCCGATTATCTGCTTTCCGACGTCGCCGATGCATCGCCGACGTCGCGGGTGCATCGGCGATGCGGCGAGATCCTCCGACCCAATCTACTCGGGCCCCATCTGGAACCCCTCTACAGTCAACCCGCATAGTAAGAATGAGCGACTTTCCAAGGTTCCCCTTTGCATTCCCCTTCGGCCCATCCGTGGCCACTCTCGCTGGCCGCGCCCCGCTCGCAGAGTATCGACTTGTCCCTCCAAAGCCCTCGCATCCTCAGCGTGCGTCTTTCTATGGGTGGACTGCACTCTGACCCCATCTGGGAGCCTCGGCGGCGAGCGAGGGGGGGAAGTGAGAAGAGGCAGGCCTTCTCAGAAGGCTCGGAAGTCCCCTGGCCTCTGATCAGTTTTCAGAGCCCTCCCCGAAGACACAGAAAACTCCTGAGAAGTCCCGCCGCCTTCTGAGAAGGCCTTCTCCTTGTCCTTTTTCCCCCCCGCTCGCCGCCAAGAGGCCCCCAGATCCTGAGCCCCGTAGGGGCCTTGCCAGGGCCGGTGCAGGTGCACACCCGGGGAGCTCGGCCAGCCGCCGGGGCGTTCCCGCATCCTTTTCGCAGAGAGTGGGACGAAGTGCGCACGCGCGCGCCGTCGCGCGCGCATGCCGAAATCGTTCAAAACCTCAGGGTACCCGAGGATTTCCACAACGAATGCCCCGAAGACATACCGAGCAAGGAAGCCTGCGCTGGCGCTCTTGCGAATTCGTTTAAAAAACAGCCATCGGTTTTTCAACACTGTCATCAAATTCTACCCAACGGACCTCTCGCGCCGCATGTCGAATTCAACCGAACGCCCTTGCGCGCGTGCTTGGGGGGCACGATCCGTGTCAAATAATACCACGCGGGCCACTCGTGCGCGTCGGCCGCGCGCGCATGTCGAACTCCTTCCAAAACCTACATCACCGACGCGATGACATCTTCATCGTTATCGGCGGGCGTCATCAACATCGGCCACCATCCTCACCATCATCGCTACTTTCTTCATCGTGTCTACCGTTGCCGGCGTCGCCATGATACCGCGCCAGCACAAGTCATCGACTCGCACTGAAGTGCTCGCTGGGAGGTGCCCAGCGGTCAGCGACACCGCGACCGCGACGGTCGCACCGCACTCACTGCGAGTGCTGTTGAATTACACCACATCGATTGCATCACATGTGTTGCACAACATCGATTGCACTACAATGTTGCACTACATAGCTGGCACGGCATAGATGGCACAACACATACTGCACCACGTAGATTGACCCACACAGACTGCACCACCGAGGTGGAATCACATAGATTGCACCACGTCGAGTGCATCGCATAGATGTCGAACCACATTGATTGCACTACACAACCTTGTTTTCACCACAGAATGCACCACATTGAATGCACAAAATTGATTGCACACTATGTGTTGCATCACATATTGCACCACGTAAACTGCACTACATATATTGCACGGCATCGATTGCACCACATATGCTGCGCCACATAGGTTGTACCAGATGCATCGCGCAGATGTCGCACCACATCGATAGCACAACATATATTGCACAACATAGTTTGCACAGCATTGATTGCACCACAAAGTCTAGAATGTACAACGTGTGTTGCACAACATCTATTCCCAGAAACACTGTTGGGGGTCTGGTCTGGCTAACATGTTGTTTTCGATTTGGGAGCTCTTCCTAGATTAAGGCCTCGGAGCGCTCGGGCTCGGAGCCTGGGGCCATCAAAAGTGAACCTGGGGCGACACGCTGGCTTTGTGGCGTCGGTCCATCCTTGGCTACTTTCTTTGGCCGCGCCCCGCTCGAAGAGCTTTGAAATGGGCGTCCAAGGCCCTTGCATCCTTATCTCGAATCCTTACTATACGGGTTGACTGTATAGCGCTCCCCCTCAAGCCCCCCGGCCGCTCCAGAGGCCAATCAGGCGACAAAAAGGCCAGGCCCGGGGAGCAGCAGCATCCCAATACCTTTGGCTTCCCCCTCTGCCCTGTGGAGCCTTGCAGGTCGACGCTGCCGAAGCCCGGTCGGCGTGAGCTGCCAGGCGCCCCCTTTTTTTTTTTTTTTTCATTTTTTGTTTGACAATAAAAAGGATTCAAAATAAATGAAATTATACTGGTTGTTTTTTTTGTGCTTTGTTTTGTGGGGCCCCGCCAGGACCCCCCCTCTGTCAGGAGCAGCGCCTCTGCCTGGACTCTGCTGGGAGCTCCGTCCCCCCCCCCCGTCCCCGGAAGCCGGCCGGAGCGAGCTGTCGGGAGAGGCTGTCGGCGGCGGCAACACGCGAGGCGAGAGGCCCGCGCCCGCTCTGCCATGGTCCTGCGGGGTTTGCTGCGCAGGGGCGGGGCGGGTGCCAGCGTTGCACTTCCTCGCGGGCTGGAAGGCCCTGGGACCCGCACCTGCTCGGCCAGACTCCGCGAGGGCTTTCCGAGCAGGGGCGGCTCCCGAGTATTCATATATGATATATGTATATATATATATGTGTATATATATATACAGATGCATCCATACACACGTACATACATACATGCATGCATACATGCATGCATGCATACATACATACACACATACATACATACATCTATGCACTCATACATACACACATACAAGCATACATAGAAACATACACGCGCACATACAGGCATACACACATGCACACATACATGCATGCACACATACACATACAAATGCATACATACACACATACACACAGACCTACATATGTACATACAGACGTACGTACGTACGTGTACACATACATACATACATGCATGCACACAAACATGCAAACGTGCATACATATGTTCGCACATACATGCACACAGGCATACATACATACACGCATATACATATTCGCACGCGTACACGCATACGCACGTATACACATACACAAACACATTCACATAGGTGCATGTTTACATACACACACATACGTACACGCATACACGCACACACATGTACATACATACATACACACCTACATGCTTGCATACACACGTGCATTCATGCATACCGACACACAAACATACATACATACCTACACATACATACATGTATGCATGCATTTACGCATGCCTGTATGCTTTCATGCATGCGTACACATAATCATATTCACACATGCGTACCTGCATACACGCATGCATACCGACACACATGCATACACACATGCATGCCTATACCATGACCCTGATCCCGGTGCCTATACGCATGTATACATACACGCCTACATGCATACATACACACATGCATACATATATACAGACACACATACATCCATACACACATATACATGTATACATACATTACAGTCATACAAACATACATGCATATATACAGAATACACACAAACATACATACACGCATCCATCCATACACACCAACATACATACGGCTAACCATACATACATGCATACGTCCATGCATACATGCATGTGTATACTCAGTCACGCATACACGCGTACATCCATGCGTACACACACATAACACCTCCAACCATGCGCACATGCGCACATGCACACGTACATACATACACACATACACATACACAGACATACATACATACATACATGCATACATGCATACGTGTACATGTACACCTACATATAAGATGCGAGCTTGTGTGCCACCCTGCCGTTGCAGCACCTCCGTCTGACCGCCTGATGATGGGAAGATGAGACGGCGAGGGTGGCAGGAGGCAGCAGGGGAGGGTCCATCTCGACTCGATCGATCGACCGATCGAATTCTGGCCGTCTCGATCCGATTTGATCCCGATTTCAAGACGATCTGATGCGGCCCGATGTCAGCATGGCGCTGTTGTGTATTCTGGCGCAGCCGATCCGATTCGATTCCGACTCCACGCCGATGCCGCTCGATCCGACGAAGGTTTCGGCTCGATCCGAAGTGGGAGGGGAAGGGAAGTGGGAGGTCGTCGTTGGGCGTCGGATGCGGCGTCTCGCCGTTCTCGCACGCAGGGGGTGGGGGGGGGTGTCGCGCTCTGTCACTTCCGCCACCAGCCATGCGGGCAAGACTTGTATCCATATCCACTGCAGCTTGGAATTTCGGGCCCCCCCCGTACTCCGAGGCGCACTGGATACGTGTAAGAATCTGGCCTCTATAGAGGCTCGATTGTTGTCCATATCTAGTGTGCCTAGGCCTTTCCTGTGCCCCTTCCAAGAAAGTCTAAGACGCACTGGATATGGGCGTAAAGATTGCCCACAAGCCACCCCACCCCCGACTCATTGTATATCATCCGACCCCAAATCAAACCTCTGGGTCGGTTTTGGTGGTCGCCACGGCCATCGCCACACATCGGACAAGGTGTTCGTCAAGGCGTGGCATGTCCCTTCCCCGCCCCTCCCCGCTCTGAGATGTAGACGTGGCTCATTTCGAACAACATAGCGACAAGAGAGTTGTTCATTGCGGACCAGCATTGGCAGCTATGTTTTAATGTTTTGTTTTGAGTAGGGCCGGTCATCACGCAACCATTGAGGACAGGCGGCCATGCAGAGCAGGCTGGGAATGATGTGCGGAAGGCAGGGCAGGCGGAGGAGAAAACGATATTAATGAACAGTATTAGTATCGCCCTGTTCTGGAGAAAGTCCATCCATTGGGTAATGATAGTCATGCGTGACTCGTGGGATGCCCCTGGTGCCTCGGTGTGTGCGATGATGCGGAAGAAGGGTAAGCACAATCATGCGAAGCAGGATCCGAGCAGCACCACGGGGGAAGGCGAAGAAGAAGAAGAAGGGAGGCAGTAGCATTAAGTCGGGCTTGTCCCTCTACAGGGGGAGTGATCAAGAATAGTCAACAAATAGTCGGGAGACTATTTTTGAAGCTTTTTTTGATCCTCGTGGATCATTTTTTGAGTACTTTTTAGTTTATTCGTCGAACATCCCCCTGTAGGGGGGACGGGCCCGACTTAAAAGTAGCAGGCAGAGGCCTGGCGAGGAGCTCGGCTCCCCACGCCCTGGCCCCGCCGCGCGAGCGCGGCCTCCCGAGCGCCGCCTTTGGGTGTAGGGAGGAGGGAGGAGAGCGTGCGGAGCGCGGAGGAGGCGGGTGGAGGGAGGAGGCGGCCAGAGATGGGTGGAGGCTGGAGGAGGAGATGGAGATGGAGGGAGGATGAAGACGCCTGAGTTTATGGAGGAGGAGGAGTCCGCTCGGCCTCGCCCTGAGGCTCCGCCGCTTCCTCCCTCCTCTCCTCTGCCTAATTCAAGCTTCGCGCGGCCCGCGTAGCTTCGACCGGAAGAGGTGCGCTCTCGACCCGCGGATCTAAAAGAGTGTTTGGAGGAGGAGGAGGAGGACGAGATGGATGGATAGATGGCTGGATGGAGGAGGAGGGCGAGATGGATAGGGGGCGGGAGGTGGAGGGTGGAGGAGGAGACGGACGGAGGATGGGAGGCGGGGCAGGAGGAAAGGAGGGCTAGCCTCCGTCCTCCCCCCCTTCCTCCCCTCCGATTCCTGCCTCCTTCTCGCGGACGCCGATAGGAGGCGGTGCTGCCTGAACTGGCTCGTTTCGGCACGATCGAAATGGGTACTGAAAGAATGGGTACAAAGTCCAACGAGGACTCGCTGTCCGTGCCGCCGCAGACGTTGTCCATTCGAGACGGAAGGCCGCTTACCCAAGAGCGGCCCTTGTCGGTTTTGGACAGCATTTGTTGTTGGGCATCGTGCACGTTTTCCTCGTACCAAGTTCGGGCGTCCGAATCTTGTGCCAGCCATTCCACGGTCCGGTTTGGCCTATGCGCTCGGTCCCATCGATCCGACTCGATATCCGTTCCGACTGGCCCGATACGATTCGATTGCGAGACTTTGTCGATCCAGTGCTGTCGGATGCTCGCACGGCGTCGTCGTGAGTCTTGGCGAGGCCGATCCGACTTCGATGTTGGCATCCTTGTCGATGCGGCCCAGCTCTGCACACTTGCTGGTTATGATTGTTTGTTTTCCCGTTCCGATGTCGGCCAATCCTGCCACCCTGCGGTTTCAGGACGCTGAGCTGGAGAACAAGATGAGCAGGCCCCCGCACGCCTGCATCCTCCCGCGCGCACCGTCCTGATTCCGCAGGTGTGTGCGCATCCATCTACATGCAGTGTGCTTTTACCAGCCTCCTCAGTTTGTCGCGTCACTGTCTATCTTCTCCATTTTGTTGTTGTTGGCTTACGTGTTGTAATTGTTGTTAATGTTGTTGCTGCTGCTGCTGCTGCTGTTGTTGTTGTTGTTGTTGTTGTTGTTGTTGTTGTTGTTGTTGTTGTTGTTGTTGTTGTTGTTGTTGTTGTTTTTGTTGTTGTTGTTTATGTTGTTGTTGTGGTTGTGGTTGTGGTTGTCGTTGTTGTTGTTTTTGTGTTGTTGTTGTTGGTGTTGTGATTGTGATTGTTGTTGTTGTTGTTGTTGTTGTTGTTGTTGTTGTTGTTGGTGTTGTGACTGTTGTTGTTGTTGTTGTTGTTGTTGTTGTTGTTGCTGTTGAACTCTCAGTCTTGAAGAATAATTATCGTTGATCCCCCCACCGGTGCACATTGATTTTTTCGATTGAAGTACCACCCCCGGGGCTCGCACCTTGTTTTTTCGCAAGGAAAGTCTTCCTGCTCAAACTGTGCCCCTGCCCCCCGGGCTACAACAACAACGGCTCCCGCCTGAGACTTCCTCGATTTTTACTCAGGACCCCCGCTCCCGCCTGAGACTCCCGCGCAATTTACTCAGGAAAGGCGCTCCCGTTTGAGACTTCCTCGCAATGTAATCCAGACCCCCGCTCCCGCCTGAGACTTCCGTGCAATTTACGTGGGAACGGCGCTCCCGCCTGAGACTTCTTCCAATTTTACTCAGGACCCCCGCTCCTGCATGACATTTCCGCGCAATTGACTCAGGAACGGCGCTCCCGCGTGAAACTTCTTGCAATTTAGTGAGGACCCCCGCTCCCGCCTGAGACTTCCGTGCAATTTGCTCAGGAACGGCGCTCCCGCTTGAGACTTCCTCGCAACTTAGTCAGGGCCCCCGCTTCCGCTTGAGATTTCCTCACAATGTACTCAGGACTGCGCTCTCGCGTGCGACGTCCTCACAAATTATTCTGGAATTGCGTTTCGGCGCTCAGGAACCACGCACGCGCCAAGGACGCTTTCACAACGTGGTATCTTCCCTCTTCCTTCGTCCTTCCCCCTCCCCTTCCTCCCACTCTCCCTCGTTCTTCCCCTCCTCCTCTTGCAGGGCCCGCGCCAATTCCAATGGCGGGCAGAGAGATGTACGCCCCCGAAGGATTGTCCGCCCGTTCCGGTTTGCCCGTACGTCTAAGCCCGCCGGCCCCAGCAAAGAGAAATAATCCCCCCGAAAGGGGCGCGATCGAAGACGAAGAGGGCGGGCATCGAGGGTGTAGGGTATACGTGTTGAATGACTCGCGGGCAAGTAAGAGCGCACAGTCTTAAAATGGTTGTTGTTGTTGTTGCTGCTGCTGCTGCTGTTGTTGTTGTTGTTGTTGTTGTTGTTGTTGTTGTTGTTGTTGTTGTTGTTGTCGTCGTCGTCGTCGTCGTCGTCGTCGTCGTTGTCGTTGTTGTTGTTGTTGTTGTTGTTGTTGTTGTTGCAGTCTCATTTATGGAAAATAATTATTGTTGATCCCCCCATCACCGGTGCATTCTATTTTCTCAAGTGTGCTCCTCGACGCTCGCACCCTGCTTGACAGGGAAAGTCTTGGTGCTCATACTGTGCCCCTTGCCCCCCGGATTACAACAACAACGGCTCCCGCCTGAGACTTCTTCCAAAGTTACTCAGGACCCCCGCTCCTGAGACTTCCTCGCAATTTACTCAGGATCGGTGCTCCCGCCTGTGACTTCTTCACAATTGAGTCAGGACCCCCGCTCCCATCTGAGACTCCCTTACAATTTACTCAGGAACGGCGCTCCCGCTTGAGACTTCCTCGCAATTGAACCAAGACTTTCTCGCAATTTAATCAAAACCCCCCCCCCGCTCCCGCCAGAGAGCCCTTCACAGTTGATTCAGGAAGTGCGCTCCTCGCCTGTGATTTCCATACAATTAATTCAGAAATCGCGCTTTCGACGCTCAGGAAAGACGCTGCGCCAAGGACGCCGTTACAATTTACTTAGTAATCGCGCTCTCGCCATACTCCGGCATCCCGCTTGAATGTCCCACCCGCCCGACCCGCCCGTCAGGGGATCGCCCGCCCGTCGTGGGCTCCCGCCCGAGACTTCCTTCAGGAACGGCGGTTTCGCCTAGGATTACCTCGAACATTCACGCTCTTACCTTCCTGCTCCTCCTCCCTCTCCCTCCTCCCTCCTCCCTCCTCTCCTCCCTTCTCTCTTTCTCCTCTCTGCCCTCATCCTTATGCCTCTCTGCCCTATCCCCTCTCTCCTTCCACTTCCTCCTCCCTTCTCCCTCCCCTCTCCTGCCTCCTCCCTCTTTCTTTCTTTCTTTCTTTCTCTCTCTCTCTCTCTCTCTCCCCCCTCTCTTTCTCTTTTTCTCTACTTCTCTTACATGTCTTTATATGTGTTTTGTTTTTTATCTCTCTCTCTCTCCCTCGTCGTTCCTTCTCTCCTGGCGTAATCCCTCTTCCTTCGTCCCTCCCCCCCCCTTCCTCCCACTCTCCCTCGTTATCCCCCTCTTTTTTTTTGCGGGGACCACACCAATCCCAATGGCGGGCACACGTACGCCCACGAAGGATTGTCCGCCCGTTCAGGGTTGCCCGCCTGTCTAAGCCCGCCGCCCCCCGCAAAGAGAAATAATGCCCCCACAGGGGGTGTGATCGAAGACAAAAAGGGCGGGTATCGAGGGTGTGGGAACTCGTTTTGAATGACACGCGGGCAAGTGAGAGCGAACAGTCGTATAATGGTTGTTGTTGTGGTTGTGGTTGTTGCTGTTGAGTATCATTACTGTATTGAAGAAGAATTATTCTTGATCCCCCCCTTCCGGTGACCCTGGTGTTTTTGTTCGGTTGGCGTGCTTCCCTCGGAGTTCGCGACCTTTTGATTATCAGAGAGAGACTTGGCTCAAACTGTGCCCATGGCCCCCGAATTACAACAGCAACAACAACAACAACAACAACAACGGCTCCCGGTTAGACCTCCTCACAATTTAGCCAGGCCCCCCGCTCCCGCCGGAGACTTCCTCGCATGTTAGTCCGGGGTCGCGCTATCGCTTGGGACTCCCTTGCACTTTATTAAGGGATCGTTCTCTCGGCGCTCTGGAGTCGCGCTCTCGCTGGAGACTCGCTTCCAATTTACTCAAGGATCGCGCTCTTGCGTTCGAATTTCCCGCAATTTGCTCAAGCGCCGCAATCCCGAGACTCAGACTCAGGATTCGCACTGACGCTTAGGATTCTTTCGCAGCTTATTTAAGAGTCGGGATGTCGCTGCCCTTCGCGGCCGCGTTGTAGCCCCTCGTGGCCCACTCGCTGCCCTTCGTGGGCCCGTTGCAGCCCTTCGTGGCCCCCTCGCTGCGCTGCGTGGCCCCGTTGCAGCCCTTCGTGGCCCCCTCGCTGCCCTTCGTGGCCCCGTTGCAGCCTTTCGTGGCCTCCTCGCTGCCCTTCGTGGGTCCATACATGCTTCGTGGCCCCCGCTTGTTCGCTGCCCTTCGTGGCCCCGCTGTCGCCCTTCTTGGCCCCCTTCGTATCCTTCGTGGCCCCGCTGTCGCTCTCGCTCTCGCTCTCCATTTCGCTCGTCGCCGTCGTCGTCGTCGTCGTCATCGCGGTCGGTCCCCTATTCGTCCCTCTTGGGTTCGGGCTGCCGCCGATCAGCGCTGCCGGTGGCCAGGCCGACGGTCCGCGGCCGCCCCGCCGCTGGCCGGGGCCCAGCCTGCAGGGAAAACAAATGTACCCCCCAAAGAGGGTACGATCGAAAACGAAGTGGGCGGGTATCGAGGGTTTGGGAAATACACGTTGATTGTCACTCGGGCAGAAAACAGCGAACAGTCTTCAAATGATTGTTGTTGTCTTTGTTAATGATTATTCATTCAAATATATCAAGTATTGTTGATATCTGGAAACGTTTCCGCGCGCTCTCCGCGCGAGCGTTGGTATGAGTGGAAAAGTGGGCCGTTGGAGGCTTTGCTACGACGGCAACGGCTCCCGTTCGATAGTTCCCCTCCATGTACCCGGAGACGCGTTGGCAAGACAGGCCCCCAAACTCAGGAACGGCGCTCTCGCGCGAAATTTCCTCGCAACTCAGACGAGTTGGCGGAGGCACAGCCACGACGACCTGGGCTCCTGCTCGATACTCCCCACGATTTACTCCGAGAGGCCCTGGCCAGGAAGGCCCCCGAACTCAGGAACGGCGCTCTCGCTCGAGACTTCCTCGTGATTCAGTTAAATTGGTGGAGGCCCAACTACGACGCCACGCTCTGGTTTGATACTTCCTCAATATGTATTCGCAGAGACCCTTGCCAGAGAGGCCCCCGAACTCACGAGAGGCGCTCACGCTCGCGATTTTCACGTGGTTCAGGCAAGTTCGTGGAGGCTCAGACACGGCGACAAAAGCTCCGTTTCGATATTTTGCAATATGTATTCCGAGATCCCTTGGCCTGGCCAGAGAGGCCCCCGAGTTCAGGAACGACGGTCCCGTTCGAGAGTACGTCGCACTGCTGTCAATTGCCGACAAGGAAGAGATTCCCCCCGAAAGTGGGTGTGATCGAAGACGAAGTCGGCGGGTATCGACGGTTGGGGTATACAGAATGCAAAGCACGCGTGCCAGTAAGACCGAACAGTTTTAAAATGATTGTTGTTGATTTTTCACGATTAGAATAATTATTTGGATCCATCCCGCTCCGGTGACCATTTTGTGTTTCAGTTGAAGTGCTTCTCCTTGGGATTTCCTTACGAATTAGCCAGGACCCCCGCTCCCGCCTGAGACTTCCTCGCATTTTGTCTTAGGAATCGCGCTCTCGTTTGGGATTTCCTTGCACTTTATTCAGAAATTGCTTCTTCGGCGCTCTGGGGTCGCGATATCGCTGGAGACTCGTTTCCGATTTGTTCAAGAATCGTGCCTTTGCGTTGAAATCCCCGGCAATTTAATCGAGCGCCGCGCTCCCGACACTCAGGCACCCAGGAGTCGCGCTCACGGTTAGGACTCCCTCACAGGTTATTTAAGAATCGGGATTTTGTGCTGCCCTTCGCGGCCGCGTTGCAGCCCTTCGCGGCCCCCTCGGTGCCCTTCGAGGCCCCCTCGGTGCCCTTCGCGGCCCCCTCGGTGCCCTTCGAGGCCCCGTTGCAGCCCTTCGTGGCCCCCTCTCTGCCCTTCGTGGCCCACTCTCTGCCCTTCGTGGCTCCGCTGTCGCCCTTCGTGGCCCCCATGCTGCCCTTCGTGGCCCCGTTGCAGCCCTGGCCCACTTGGCCCCATATGCATGCCCTTCGTGGCCCCGCTGTCGCCCTTCGTGGCCCCCTCGCTGCCCCTCGTGGCCCCGTTGCTGCCCTCAATGGCCGCGTCGTTGCCCCCTGTGGCCCCGCATTATCCGCCCTTCGTGGCCCCCGCTCGTTCGCGCCCTACGTATGCCCTTCGTGGCCCCGCTGTCGCCCTTCGTGGCCCCCTTTCTGCTCTTCGTGGCCCCGCTGTCGCTCTCGTTCTCGCTCGCGCTCTCACTTTCGCTCGTTGTCGTCGTCGTGGTCGTTGTCGTCGTCGTCGTGGTAGGTCCCCTGTCCGTCCCTCTTGGGGTCGAGTTGTCGCCGATTAGCGCTCCCGCTGGCCGACGGTCCGCGGCCTCCCCGCCGCTTGCCGGGTCCCGGGCTGCAGGGAAGAAAGCTATACCCCCCAAAAGGGTACGATCGAAAACGAAGATGGCGGGTACCGAGGGTTTAGGAAATACACGTTGACGCACATTCGAGCAGATGAGCGCGAACAGTTTTAAATTGATTGTTGTTGTCGTTGTCAATGTTTTTGTCGTTGTCGTTGTTGTTTGTGGTGTTGTTGTTGGTGTTGTTGTTGCTGCTGATGATGTCTGTGGTTGATGTTGTTGTTATTGTTGTTGTTGCTGTTGTTGTTGTTGTTGTGGTTGTTGTGGTTGTTGTTGTTGTGGTTGTTGTTGTTGTTGTTGTTGTTGGTGGTGTTGGTGTTGTTGTTGCTGTTGAATATCACTTCTGCAGAATATGTATTGTTCACCCCCCCACCAGTGCATATTGTATTTTCTCAATCAAAGTGTGCCCCATCGACGCTCGCACCCTGTTTTTTGACAGGGAAAGTCTTCCTGCTCAAACTGGACCCCTGGCCCCCGGGTTACAACAACAGCGGCTCCCGCCTGAGACTTCCTTACAATTTAGCCAGGACCCCCGCTCCTTCCCGAGACTTCCTCGCATTTGATTCAGGAATCGCGCTCTCGCTTGGGACTTCTTTACAATTTATTCAGGAATCGCTCTCCCGGCGCTCTGGAGTCGCGCGCTGGAGACTTGCTTGCAACTTACTGAAGAATAGCCTTGCGTTGGAATTTCCTGCAATTTGCCCAAGCGCCGCGCTCCCAACACCCAGGCACCCAGGAGTCGCGCCCGTTGTGGCCCCATGTGCATGCCCTTCGTGGCCCCGCTGTCGCCATTTGTGTCCCCCTCACTGTCCTACGTGGCCCAGTTGCTACCCTCAGTGGCCCCATAGTTGCCTTCTGTGGCCCCGCATTATCTGCACTTCGTGGCCCCCGCTCGTTCGCGCTCTTCGTGGCCCTGCTGTCGTTCTCTCTCGCTCTCGCTTTCGCTCGTCGTCGCCGTCGTCGTCGTCGCCGTCGTCTTCGACGTCGTCGTCGTCGTCGTCGTCGTCGTCGTCGTCGTCGTCGTCGTGGTCGGTCCCCTGTCCGTCCCTCTTGGGGTCGGGTCGACGGTCCGCGGCCGCCCCGCCGATCAGCGCTGCCGCTGGCCAGGCCGACGGTCCGCGGCCGCCCTCGCCGCTTGCCGGGGCCCGGCCTGCAGGGAAGAAAGGTATACCCCCCAAAAGGGGTTCGATCGAAGACGAAGAGGGCGGGTATCGAGGGTTTGGGAAATACGCTTTATTGGACACTCGAGCAAATAAGGGCGAACAGTCTTAAAATTATTGTTGTTGTTGTCGTTGTTTTTGTTGGTCGTGTTGGTATTGGTTTTGTTATTGTTGTTGCTGCTGCTGTTGTTGGTGGTGTTGGTGTTGGCGTTAAGTATGGTTATTATTGTGGTGTGTTTGGTGTTGTTGTTGATGGTGTGGTCGCGTTTGTGGGTTGTGTTGTTGTTGATGTTGCTGTTGATGTTGCTGCTGCTGTTGTTGTTGATGTTGCTGCTGTTAATGAAGTCGTTGTTGCTGTTGGTTGTGTTGTTGTTGGTGGTGGTGGTGTTGGTGTTGTTGTTGGTGGTGGTGTTTGTGTTGCTGTTGGTGGTGGTGTCTCTCTCTCTCTCTCTCTCTCTCCCTCTCGTTAGCAACATTCGGAAGCATCCAAGAGTGCATCGAGCTCTCTATACTAATGAACCAGCACTCGGCTCAAGACGCACCCAGAAGGGAGAGGGACATGGAGCAGCGGGTACTTGAGGAATGGCAGGAGCCGAAGGTGGAGATGGTGAGCTTGCTGTGTTGTTTTGCTCTCTCTCTCTCTCTCTCTCTTTCTGGGTTCCTGGGACTCTGGCCTCCCGAATCCCACATCGCCACGCTGCGGGGCATAATTAGGTAGCGCCGCTCTTCTTTCGCCTTGCAGGCTGACCGTGCGCGACCTCAGGGACGAGGAGAAGCACGAGGACGTTGGACAGGCCCAGAAGACGGGTAAAGCGATAGAGAGTTGGGCGCGAATTGATGGGGCCGACAAGCTGGGGAGGCAGCGGGGGCTGCAGAGATTGGCCCTTGAGGGCCCCTAGAGGAGCCGTGTGCGGCCCCAGAGGGGGCTTTGAGGGCCCGAGAAGGGCACCTCTCCTCCTCCGCCATGTATCACCCCCCATTCATTCGCGCCCAAGAGCTTGGTATCGCTCGGACGTGTGCACTTTTTCTCGGCGGGGATTATTGAGGAGCATCCTGGATCATCCTGCGAAAGAGCCACGCACGAAACCGAAAAAAAACAGGGAATGGACGTCCGAGCGATGGCCAGAGAGAGAATGGAGATGGTGAGGATGGCCAAGGAGGGAGGACATTCTGGAGAAGGGGGATCAGCGCCACAGCCAGCAATTCAGCGTGCAACACGTCAAGGCTGAGTACGTCAGTTGGACCTCGCGGAGCTCTCCGAGCTCAGAGGCGGACGCCTTTGGCTTCCTCCTGTCACGGATCCGCTTCCCAAGGTGTTCGGCCCCCCGGAAGACAACATGTTCCTCAACACAAAGCAGCACACATTGAAGGCAATTGTGTATGACACCATCTTGTTCTCGAACATCCATTTGCCTTCAAGCATGTCTGCCTCCGGCAGAGTCTTGCACCTTCCGTGACCAAGCTTGTGCCTTCAGGTTTTCTAGGGGAACAACAAGTGACATAAACATAAAAACTCTGAGATCCGCGCGGATTTCTCGGATCGGCGCTGGATCCTCCTCCCTGGCGCGCGGAGCGCGCCAGGGGCGGCGCCGGAGGCGCCGCCGGAGGGCCCCAGCGCCGATCCGAGAACCCCGCGCGGACCTCCGAGTTTTTCCGTATATGCCACTTTTTGTTCCCCTCTTTTCGTGCCCTTGGGCCTCGGGAAGAATTGCAAAAAAACCTTTGATTGCAAAAAAAAGGATTGCAAAAACGAAGGATTGCAAAAAAAACCTTCGGGGTTTTTGCACGAAGGTTTTTTTTTTTGCAATCCTTCGTTCAAGGGGGGAGGGGGCGCCAGGACTGGCAGGGCCAGGGCGAGGGGGCCTCCTCTGGGCAGGAGCACGGCGGCGAGCCCTGGCCGGGCTCTCGGCGGATACGCCACCGCCCACCCGGGCCTCGGCTCGCTCCGCCCTTCTCTCCTCCCCCCCCTGCTGCTCCTGCTCCTTCCTCCTCTCCTCTTCCTGGGTAGTCGAAGGCCAGACTGTCAGATTGGATTTGGCCCCAAGGGCTAATCTGGCCTGGCCAAACTGGATGATTTGGGTTGTTCGCCAGACTGGATTCGCGTTGGCTCCCTCGCCAGATTGCCCCCGTTTGCCAGATTGGGCCTGCCAGATTGGCGCCAGATTGGCTTCGACTACCCAGTCTTCCGCACCACAGAAGGGAGGAAGGAGAGGGAGAGGGAGCAGGAGGAGCCGGGTGATTGGGGAGATGAAGTCTGAGGAGGAGGAGGAGGAGGAGGAGGAGGAGAAAGAGGAGGAGGAGGAGGCGGAGGAGGAGGATGAGGAGTTACGGTGTTACGGGTATGGCGATTGTGTCGGTCACGATTTGGAAGCGTATTGAATGTGTTATTTTCTGGCTCTTCTGGCCTGTTTTCGCTTGCTGAAGACCTTCAGCCACGGCCCCTGGAGAATACGCTTCCGATAATAAATCCGATTACCGTCAAGGCGATGGCGCGATGGCTGCATTGTTTGCTAGGCTTTGCTAGCTGCACCGCTGCTAAACACCTCAAAACATGGCAACACTACAACCTCAGCCCCGTGTGAAACCTTAGACCGTGCGAATCACGAGCGTACTACCCTGAGATGTGCACCCTTTGACCAAGGGGGAGTCGGCCAGTGATGCCGTCCACGCTAAGGCGAACATGGTAAGTTCAGCCACTCGCTCTTACAAGCTGGTGCGGTCGACCCCTGACAACGCGTGCAACTACGGCCATTGTCGCCGAGGTGGCGCCGAACATTGCACATACAGTGGCTCCAGGAGGGCGGACCACAGACGAGGTGGCTTTATGCTGACGGCGTCTGGCTCCAAAACTTTCAGCCTGTACTAGCGGTTCCTCGGCCCGAATGGCCTCTCAAGTGCCTTGTAACATGCGCATGCGCACAGCGAGCGCCAAATTTTCGGAGCACACGTGTGCGTGTGCATTCCGGCAAGCGTGCTATCTCAGCTCCAGCAGTGGCGAATCATTCTGCCATCGTGTTGTCTACAATGAAGGGACGGGGTGCGTGCTCTCCTACCACGGGCTCGGCGCTAAGGAGAGAGCTCGTAAAGAGCACTGTGCAATGCCTGTCTGTTTTCCTGCTCATCTCAACTACACTGCGCCACCACAAGTCGGCGTCTGCTCCCAATGGGTGCTTTCATGTAGGCTCGTACCAACCAGCTCAGGCGGTGGAATTGTCGCTGGTGTACACGATGTGCCTTCTCACTCTCGCGCACACACACATCCAGAGGCTGTACACTTCACACCTCGCCACAGGTTGTTCGAAACCTGGGAGGGCAGTCCAAACTCAGGGATTGTGAATATCGCCGTCAAGCGAATGACACAGAGCGACCCGATCCCGGCGCGACGGACGCCGGGGGTGGTGGGTGTCCTGGCTGCCGGTTGCGTCGCCGAAGAGGTACAAAGGGGGTTCGTTGCCGCCCCCCCGCCCAGATTTCTTGCGAACACGGACCCCCTCGCAACAAATGCCGCTGCTCAGCCTCGGCGGGGGGTCCCGACGACGACCCGCGACACCGGCAGCAGCCCCCGCGTCCAGAAACGCTCCTCCTTGGCATCGCTCGGACGTGTGCACTTTTCCTTTGGCGAGGGCCATCGAGGAGCATCCTTGATCATGTGGCGAAAGAGCCACGCACGAAACCGAAGAAAAACACAGGGAATGGACGTCCGAGCGATGGCAAGTCCTCAGCTTCGGCCTGAGCATATGCCTTGGGGGGGTACTGCTCGCTGACCTGGTACACGGGGTTGGGGGGCCGAGGCTTACAGCCCCATGCCTGATGGAACGTTGTCCCGGGACACACCTTGCAACGAGGACGCTGAACCGATGTCCGGTGCCTGCATCTGGTCTGCCTCCTGGTCCTGGGCCGAGAAGCGTTTGCTATTGCTGCTCTGCGCTGCCTGTAAGAATGATTGCAATCTCGCCTTCCACTCGTGCTCCTCCGAAATGTTTGGCAGCCTCTTTCCAGAAACCAGCTTGGATGATTGATCGGAACCCTTGAAAGAACAGCTCTGGCATATCTACGGATGCCCAGCCTGTCAGACTGTCAGCTTTAAGATCCCACCTGCTGGTGCCGTCGTGCATCGACCAAGCAGTAGGAAGCGTGGGGTGCCACCCCGCCTTGAGCAAGTGGGTGTTGACGGTCGCCTGAGGCCCTCGTATCTTGCTGCATCGCGGGGCCGCGAGAATCTTGGTTGGGAAATCCAGGTCGCCACCCACATCCTCAGCGTGTCCGTCGGGAGCCGAGGCGCGGGGTCACGCTGCGGCACTTGCAGGTCGAGCAGCGCGGTGACGCACTTGCCCGTGGGACGGGGGTTTAGGCATTAGCGACGTGCCGTATCACGGCGCCCATCTGGGTTCCGAAGATTCCGTGTGGTTGATAAGCGTGCGTCCCCAGCAGGCGCACCTTTTTGCTGTTCGAGCCGACTGGTGACCCGGTATTTGCGAAGGGTCCTGGCGTACCGTGTGATCTTGACCGGCATCGAGTGACGTTCGATTGCGTTAGCCTGCCGCGTAGCTCGACCCTGAAGCCCCCGCCGAGGTAGGGGGCCTGGCTGACGTGCTTCAGCGTGTACCCACGGGCGGCTACACGACGCGCGATGATACGGGCGTCGTTGATCTGACTGCAAGTGGCTACGCTTTTGGGGGAGATAATTGTTCCGCGGCCTCCACGCTGTGACATGAGTCGATCAAACAACAAGTCATCTGCTTCACCATGAGCTGCCCCGATTCTCGCGCTATCTGGCCAAGGCCATCGGCCCAAAGCCGATGAGACATCTTGACACGCGCGGCAGTTATCCGAACGCATTTTCCGCAGCGGCCCCCCACGCGAAGCCCCTGCACGATGGGGCGCGCTGGACAGATGAGAGGGCCTTGTTGGAAGCGTATTACTGCCATTTATTTTTGAAGTTTGCCTAGGAACAAGATACCCCCCCCCCCAAAAAAAAAAAAAAAACATGCCCGCGTGCCATTCCGGGTCGAGCTGCTAGCTCGCTAGTTCCCCGTCGACTGCGCGAAGAAAAAAAGCTTTCCGCACAGGGGAGTTCCCACGGTAGCCGCGCCCCAGCGCGCCTGGCGCTGGCATTTCTTGACGTGGCCCTCGCGGGCCCACGACCGCATCCGTCCGAGATGAAATGAGCGCCCAATCCCCTGTCTCCGATGCTTTCCTTGGGCAGCAGGGCTCCGATGGTGACTGAAATTTAAGGTGGTCACGCCTGATGGCATTCGCAGGGGGAGAGCAGCGCTGCGAGTTGTTCGGCCAGGGCGATGTCTGGCAGGCGATCCATAGCCAAGGAACACAGCCGATCAACACCCATCACCTAAGGGGTCTTCATGTGCCCGCGCGCTGAACGAAGGCCGGCGGCCTCGATGGGCGGCAGTGCCTCTCCCCGGATGCTGCGTCTGATGTCCTCGGACAAGGCGCGGGGCTGCCACTTGGTGGGCCCGCCGATCCCGCCGCTGCTGGGCGCGGCGATCGAGCGCGCGCCGAGGGCGGATGAGCGCGCGATGACCAACGCCGACCGACTTCGAATGCGAAAGAGAGGGATGGCCGTGCAGCTCTGCCCGGGGCTTTGACTGCGGGGGCGCAGCCCCGGCCCGATCCCGAAAAAAGGGGAGACTGCACAGTGCGCTGCTCTCTGCTGGCTGCCCCTCGCCAACCTGCGAGCCCTGGCCCGCGCCTCGAAGCGCGCGCCGAGGCCGACCCTGCAGCCGCCGCGCGCGCAGGGACAGCTTCCCCCGCGACCGGGCGCAGCGGGCCCTGCCGCAGAAGGGCGCGGCGACGCCCCCCGGGCAGTCGGGCGCGCTGCCCGCCGATGGCCCGAGCGAGCACTTGCTTCATGTCGGGCGCGTCCCCCTGCAGGGGGATTTTCGACGAAAAATTAAACATACCTCTAACAATAATCAAAACATAGTCCAAAAATAGTCGGGGGGGTATTTTTTTAGTATGCTTGGACCTTCTCGGGGTATTTTGGGGGTACTTTTTCATTTTTCGTCGAAAATCCCATTGTGCGGGGACGCGCCCGACATAGCACTTGCTGCTGCCTGCCACCGCCTTCTCTCCGACGGTGCCGGAGGGGGGGCGAGAGCGCCGCGGCGGCGCGCCCGGCGCCCGCTGCGACTTCGCCCCGGAGGGGCGCGCGTCGCCGAGGAGTGGGCTGCTGCGTCGTGCCGGCGCGAAGTCCAGCTGCTCGCCCTCGCGCGCGAGGGCGGGCGCGGCCTGCGCGCGGCGCGCGCGGACACAGGGTCTTCGCCGCGCGCGCCCAGCGACGACGAGGAGAACCCGTCGGTCCTTGAAGGTAGGTATTCCTGGAGTCCCGGATTCCAATCCACCGCGAGCGACTTCCTGCTTCAACGATCGAGCTGCGTCGTCCTTGTCCGTCCTCTTCCGGGGGCGGGCGGACGCCCGATCCGCTTTCGACGCCTTCCCATTTCGTGATTCTACCTGCTTCTTCCGACCGATGGGGACTGATGCGCGGGCTGGCGGTGCCCTGGGGGCCGAGCCGCAGTGCTGCAGATCTGGCAGCGGCGCCAGCGGGAGGGCAGGGCGGCGCCCGGGGCAAACCTGGCGTTCTCCCGAGTCTGCAGCCAGGTCAGAGTGCGGGGGCCGAACGGTCATTCATTGTGCCTGGGTGCGTGGCTGAAGTGAGAATCCGCGGTGGGGATTCTGCAAGTTGCGCTGTTGCTGTTGCTGCTGCGCCCCACCCGCGACCCGCCCGCGACCCGCCCCGCGACCCGCCCCGCGACCCGCCCGCGACCCGCCCGCGACCCATTCGCGACCCACCTGCGACCCACCCCGCGACCCACCCCGCGACCCACCCGCGACTGATCCACACTGGTTTGAAGAAACGATCGGCGTCTGCGGCGGGCTCGTTGTATACTCTGTGACACTTTGGCGCCTGCGGCGGGCTTCCCCAGAGTCTCGCAGACTGCCGACGCCCCGCCCCCACCGCCCCCCATCACTCTTATCCGCACCTGCAGGGTGCTGCGTTATCTCTTTTGCGTGACGTCATATGGGAGGCCCGGAGCTCACCGATCACCGATTGGGACGACATATCCAGAGCAGGAGACCCGCGGGCCTCTTCTCACGTAGCGGGCGCATCACTCGGGGGGCGCCCAGGTTCAGACCTGGGGGGGCGGGCTGCTGAATCAGATCCGATTGAGCTCGAGAGAGCAGCAGGCTGGGCGGGGGGGGCCGGTCTGCAAGGCGCGGCGGCGTCGCATGCCCCCCCCCCCAGGCGCGCGCGCGCCTGGCGTCGCCGTGCAAAATCTCCCCCCCCCCCCGCGCGCTCATAGCTTGTCGTGATGAGAGCGCTGTGGGACAGGTTCCAATCCGCGGCTACAATCCCGGGTAGCTGAAGAGTGGTCAGACGAACAAGCTCGCGACATCCCGATCTCCCGAGACCCTGTGGTCTCGCAACCCGATCGATGAGCGATCGCAGAAGACAACGTATGACACAGAGAACCAACACCACATCGACAGCCGAGCTGCGACCTGCTGTCAGCCCGCGCGCTGACTTCGCAGCGCCCAGCTCCTGGACGGTAGAATTGTTGCGCGCGTAGAAGAATTGTCTGCCCTCGTTGGCCTGCGCATCACCTTTCGCGAATCATTTCGCCTTGGGCCGAAGTGTCTTGACAAGAAGTTTGAGAGAGCTGCCTCGTGCTTTTTCAAAGCCTCAAGACTCGAGCTGCAGCGGGGAAAAGAAAACGCGCGTTTCGCATATTGTGCTTTGCAAATGACGGATGCGCCCCCGACTTGTGTCCCCCATGCAGTTGACGCTCGCAACAAAGTGAAACGATCGAGACGAAGTAGTTGCGCCAGCGTCGCTGGCTCTCGCATGAGCCCCAGCAGCGTTTGCACAGGTGCTCGAAAAGTGCCACAGTGCTCGTGGGCCCGTTGGCGCCCGAAACCGAAGCAGATGACCCAGTGCACGACGTGCTGGTGCTCCCCGAAGTCGGCGTCGTATGCGCCGTTGTAGCGCGGATTGCCGAACCTGGTCGACGCGCTCGCCATCTGCCCGTGCAGTGGAACGGGGGCTCGCCGACGCCCTTGCCCGCGCCCCTGCCCGCGGCGACGGCCCCCTTGGCAGCGAGGCGCGCCCTGGACGGGCGCTCGGCCTCGATCTCCAGGGCCGCCTCCTGCGCGGCAGCGTCGGCAGCGGGCGCTTGGCCGCCGGCTGGGCGCGGCGCGGGCGCTTCCCGCCGTGGGGCGCCACCGGTGCCGCTTGGCCTAAGTAAGCCTTTGTCGCCCCGACCCCCCATCCCTGGCCCTCGTGGTCGGGGTGCTCGTCGGACCCCAGCAAGGATCCTTAAAGGCTGCCCCGTGCGTCCCCGACCACAGCGAGAACCAAAGAGGCTGGGGGGTCATTGGCACGGGGAGGGGGAGACGGACGAGGAGGAGGAGGAGGAATAGGCAGATAATCCGGGATGATCAGAGAGGCGCACCAGGGTGTGTGGATTTGGTCCGACAGGGCGCCAGGCGCCAAGTTGATCCCTCAGAAGTGCTGCGCGAGGGATTCGCCGAGGAGGACCTCCAACCCTGCCTCCTGCAGTGCCACGCGGGCCCCTGCCGCGCGCCGCGAGGACGATGAAGATCTCCCCCAGGCGCCCGGGAGCCGCTCGCCTCCGCCTCGCCGTCGGGGGCGCCCTTCGCGGTGGCGACGCCGACGCTGGGTACGAAGGGCGAGGCGTCGAAGCGGAGGGGCGTGCGCTGGGGCAAGGAGGCGCCGCCCGCCTCCATGGCGCCAGCCACAGCCGCCGTGAAGTCCAGACGCACGCCGGGAGCGCCCGGGTGGTGAAGAGCAGCCAGAGGAGCACCTGCGCCCCGAAGGGGCGCTTCCGGCGCGCTGGCGCCTGCGAACCTATCGTTCGTTTTCCGCGTGGGGCCTGTCGTCTCCGCCGAAAGCCGCCCGCACTGTCGCCACCGCGACCGTTAGGACGGTCTCGCCTTCGCCGCCGAGGGCCAGCATGCTCTGTTTGTAGCGGCGGAACGCCCACACGAGCGGCACGAGCGGGTGCTCAGCGCGCCCGTACTCCCCGCGCAACGCGTGGCCTCCCAGGTCGTTCGACTGCTCCGCCATCTTCCCGTCCTCGTCCTCGAGCACGTCGGGCGTGTGGGAGCTCGGGTCGTGTCCGCCCATATGCGGCGCGGCCGAGTCGTCGTGGGGACGACGGCCACCACCAGCAGCATTACGAGGAAGGACGCCAGCGTCTGGACGATCATCGGCGTCGTCGCCAGTGCGAGAACCACAACCAGGACGAGGGAGGTCCTCGCTAGGCTTGGGGGGGCAGCGACAGCCTCCCGGGGTGCGCCAGCGGGGAGGGGCGAGACGTCCACGCGCTGGGCCTCCGTGTCCAGCTGCACGCCGACGGTCGGCGTGGTGTCGCACGAGGTGGACTCGGCGCCGCCTCTGCCGAGCCTGGGCCCTGCAGAGGCCCACGCGATGTCCGACGCGGACTCGCGGGTGAATCCGCCTGGCGGGATTCGCCGGGCGTGCCGCGCGGCGTTCCAGCGGGCGGCGGCGGGAGCCGGGGGCAGCGCGCCTCTGGGCCAGCAGCACCAGCGCCGGCCTCGCCGCTCGCTCGCGGTCCCTGCAGGAACCAGCCTCGCCGCGAGCCTGCACGAGGGGCTGGATGGCAGCCTCGCAGGCGGTTCGGCGCCGCTGTCTCGCCGCACTACTGGCGGCGGTGGCACCAAGTGCGGCGATGTCGCGCCACCTGGACTCCGAAGGCCGCCGCGCTATCGGGCCCCCCCCCCGTCGCCGCTCCCGTGGAGCCCAGAGCCCCGCTCCCCCCCTCCCTCATGCCCGCCGCGTTGCCCCGCGAATCTGGGGTCGCAGGGCACGCCGAGGAGGAGCCCAGGGAGTGGACGACCTCCGGAAGAGCGAGGGCCAGCATAGCTGCGGAGGAGGAGGAGGAGGAGGAGGAGGAGGAGGAGGAGGAGGAGGAGGAGGAGAGGGAGATGGGACTTGGAGGAGGAGGAGGAGGAGGAGGAGGAGGAGGAGGAGGAGGAGAGGAGGAGGAGGAGGAGGAGGAGGAGGAGGAGGGGAGGAGCAAAGGAGGAGGAGCAAAGGAGGAGGGAGGAGGAGGAGGAGGAGGGAGGAGGAGGAGGAGGAGGAGGGACCTGGGAGGGGCGCCGCGCGCCTCCAGCACACGCCGCCCGAGCTCGGCGCCCACAGGGCGAGGGCCTGTGCCACGCGAAGCGCGGGCGCAACGTGGACGCCCTCGGCGTCGTCGACCAGGGCACCCGCCAGGGCATCAGGAGCTGCTCGGCGGCCCTCCCTCCTCTCCTCCTCCTCCTCCTCCTCCTCCTCCGCCTCCTCCTCCTCCTCCTCCACCAGGGAACTCGAAGAAAATCTTTCGGGAGCCTCGAGACGGGGGTCAACACAGACGGGGGTCAGCCAGGGCACCGGATCCTGCAGGATCCTGCGAGGACCCCCTCTGGCTGACCCGGGTTGGCGAGCCGCTCGTGGCCGCGAGGCGGCCGCGCATGTTGGCTGACCCGGGTGCGCGAAGACTTGCGTTGCAGTTTTTGTTGGTTCTTGCATTGCAGTTTTTGGGTTTCCTGATGACCCGGGTCTGGATTGACCTGGGTCAGAAGATCCCCGAATTTTGGCATCGCTCGGAGGTGTGCATTTTTCGGCGAGGGCCATCGAGGAGCATCATGTATCATTTGGCGAAACAGCCACGCACGAAGCCGAACAAGAACACAGAGAATGGACGCCAGAGCGATGGTCAGAAATACACCGGCATCACGGCATCACCCAAGCATACTCATATTGTGTCTGCGTCGCCCCCCAACGCGTGCGCGCCGAGAAGCTCGTTGGTGGGCCCTTTCCGGCCGTACTGCTCGGGAAACGATACGCTGTAAAATGTTTGTATTGTATGTTCGGGTTGGACGTACGCCTCCGATGAGGACACACACCGCACTAGTATGTCCTGATGCGTCTCTCTCTCTCTCTCTCTCCCCCCCTCTCTCCATATACACGTAGCACCCCGCAGATGCGGATAAGAGTGATGGGGGCGGTGGGAAAGTCAGCAGTTTGCGAGACTTTAGAGAAGCCCGCCGCAGGCGCCAAAGTTTCACGAATTATACAACGAGCGCCAGTTTTTTCGTTAAACCAATGTGGGTAGGTTGCAGGTGGGTCGCAAATGGGTCGCGGGTGGGTCGCAGGTGGGTCGCGGGTGGGTCGTTGTTGGGTCGCGGATGGGTCACGGGTGTAGAGGGCAGAAAATCCACCCCATCATAATCACCCCGACAAGCGAAGCCGTTTAGTAAACGCACACTACGAATTAATCGAACAGGGCGGGGCTGTTTAGTCAATGCCCATGACCGTTTAGTAAACGTCAATTGTCGGGTCCGGTTGGCTTTTCCTCCCTTGAGGATGGGTCGCGGATGGGTCGCGGGCTGGGTCGCGCCCGGGTCGCGCCCGGGTCGCGCCTGGGTCGCGGGGTGGGTCGCGGATGGGTCGCTAGGTGGGTGGGTCGCGGGGTGGGTCGCGGGTGGGTCGCGGATGGGTCGCGGGGTGGGTTGCGGGATGGGTCGCGGGGTGGGTCGCGGGTGGGTCGCGGATGGGTCGCGGGATGGGACGACAACAACGAACGACAACAACAACAACAACAACAGCAACAACAACAACAACAACCATTTTAAGGCTGTACGCTCTTACTTGCCCGCGAGTCATTCAACACGTATACCCTACACCCTCGATACCCGCCCTCTTCGTCTTCGATCACACCCCTTTCGGGGGGATTATTTCTCTTTGCTGGGGCCGGCGGGCTTAGACGTACGGGCAAACCGGAACGGGCGGACAATCCTTCGGGGGCGTACATCTCTCTGCCCGCCATTGGAATTGGCGCGGGCCCTGCAAGAGGAGGAGGGGAAGAACGAGGGAGAGTGGGAGGAAGGGGAGGGGGAAGGACGAAGGAAGAGGGAAGATACCACGTTGTGAAGGCGTCCTTGGCGCGTGCGTGGTTCCTGAGCGCCGAAACGCAATTCCAGAATAATTTGTGAGGACGTCGCACGCGAGAGCGCAGTCCTGAGTACATTGTGAGGAAATCTCGGGCGGAAGCGGGGGCCCTGACTAAGTTGCGAGGAAGTCTCAAGCGGGAGCGCCGTTCCTGAGCAAATTGCACGGAAGTCTCAGGCGGGAGCGGGGGTCCTCACTAAATTGCGAGGAAGTCTCAGGCGGGAGCGCCGTTCCTGAGTCAATTGCGCGGAAATGTCAGGCAGGAGCGGGGGTCCTGAGTAAAATTCGAAGAAGTCTCAGGCGGGAGCGCCGTTCCCACGTAAATTGCACGGAAGTCTCAGGCGGGAGCGGGGGTCTTGATTACATTGCGAGGAAGTCTCAGACGGGAGCGCCTTTCCTGAGTAAATTGCGCGGAAGTCTCAGGCGGGAGCGGGGGTCCTGAGTAAAAATCGAGGAAGTCTCAGGCGGGAGCCGTTGTTGTTGTAGCCCGGGGGGCAGGGGCACAGTTTGAGCAGGAAGACTTTCCTTGAGAAAAAACAAGGTGCGAGCCCCGGGGGTGGCACTTCAATCGAAAAAAATCAATGTGCACCGGTGGGGGGGGGATCAACAATAATTATTCTTCAAGAATGAGAGTTCAACAACAACAACAAAAACAACAACAAACAAACAAACAAACAAACAAACAATCAACAACCATAACGACAACCACAACCACAATCGCAATCACAACCGCAACAACAACAAAAACAACAACACCAACAACAACAACAACAACAACAACAGCAGCAACGCAACAAGCAGAATGATCACCACGAATTCCTTATGCAGCCACGCGCGCAGGGACAATGAATGACCGTTCGGCCCCCCCCACTCTGATGGATATACATATATATATAGTGCTGGCTCTGGCCAGTGCCGCCGATCCAGGGCCCTCCAGATAATGATGATGCTGATGATGATGACGATGGTGGTGATGATCATGATGATGACGCTGATGATGATGATGCTCATGATGGTGGTGGTGGTGGTGGTGACGATGATGCTGATGACGATGATGATGATGGGGATGATGATGATGACGATGATGATGATGATGATGATGATGATGATGATGATGGTGGTGATGGTGATTATGATAACAATGATGATGATTATGATGATGGTGATGATGATGATGATACAGATGATGGTGATGATGATGCTGCTGCTGATGATGATGATGATGTTGATGATGATGATGATGATGATGATGATACAGATGATGATGCTGCTGCTGATGATGATGATGCTGCTGCTGCTGCTGCTGATGATGATGATGATGATGATGATGATGATGATGATGATGATGATGGTGATGTCCATGGGGCCATCTCGGGCGTCTTGGACCGATCGTTCGGTGATTCGGGGCTCTCTTGGGCCGTCTTGAGGGCCTCTTGGGGCCTCGTTGGCCAGTCTTGGGCCTCTCTTGCGCTCGAAAAAGTCATGCGGGAACATGTTGGGGGACCCAGAGAGCGCGCGGGGAGCCGTCTCTCTCTCTCTCTCTCTCTGTCTATATATATATATATGAATATAGAAAGATGTGTATATATATATATACACATAGATGTACCTTTAATTTATCGTGGTGGGGGCCAGTGGGGACAGTGGGGACAGTGGTGGGGACAGTAGGGACGGTGGTGGAACCAGTGCGGACAGTGGTGGTGAGGACAGTGGTGCTGGGGACAACAGTGGGGGATGTGGTGCGGACGGTGGTAGGGACCGGGAGTCGTTTGCTGGCGGTGAGCGTGGGTGGGGGGGGGAGGGGTTACCCCCCCGGTTTTCGAGGGGGGGGGTTCGAACGGTATGACTCCCCCGGTTTCGAGGGGGGGGTTCGAACCGGTAGTGACCCCCCTCGATTTTCCGGAGGGAGGGGGGGAGGGGTTCGAACCGGTTAGTGACCCCCCCGGTTTCCGGAGGGGGGGAGGGCGGGTTGGGGAAGGGGGGGTTTTTTGCCGGGGGAAGGGGGGGGGGTTTCTCAGCAGGGGGGGATTTTCGGGGGGCCACCGAAAATCAGGGGCCTGACGCCCATGGCCAGGTTCTGGAGGAAGAGTGGGGTGAATTTTCCATAGTAAAGCGGCGGTGGATCACGCTCTCTCTCACATCTGGAGACCCATGCCCAAGAAACATTTGCCTCCAGAGTGCCCTGGGTTTTTGGGGTGTCGATGGCTTTACCATGGAAAGCGTGTCGCTCCCACGCCAAAAATCGACGGACGCCCTGGGATCTTAGGTTTGGGTTTCTTGTGGAAAGTGTCTCGTGGTCGGGCCCCTACTGTAGGCTTGAGCGGCGTGGTCATCATCCTGCTGCATCAGCGCATCCGACCTTGCATTTTCCCTCCAGAGATTGATGAGGCCAGGGCGCCCGGCCGTGACGTCATTCGCTGCGCACGAGGAAGTCGACTCAAGGCACTATGGTGAAGAGGAACGTGGACTCCGGATGCGTCGCGGCCATCGCCCAGCTACCCAGCTTTATGCGATTTGTAAGTGGTTGTAGCCAGTGTCCTGCACCGAGGCCTAAGACTAGTGGAGCATCCGACCCGGCATTTTCCCTCCAGAGACTGGTGAGACCAGGGCGCCCGCCCGGCCGGTACGGGAGACCAGGCGAGGGGTCATACGGTAAAACATGGAGGATCCGGATAAATCGCT